AAGGATCGTTAGTGTATTTGTTTATTATTAGAAGATTATCGTTTCCGCCTGCGATATTAATCACAATTTGAAAATAAATCAACTTATAAATTGAAAGGATGCAGGACTTAAAATTTATATAGTACATACTTACAAATTATCTATTCGCATCAAATCTGCGCTACTAGAGTAATTTAAGAAAGTTATGATTTTAACATTATTAGTTTTCGAAAATGGATTTCCTTTTTTTGTTTTATCCAGGACCACAAAGCAATGCATTTTTGGATATTCGTCAAGTAAATGATTTGTATCACAGTAAATTTATGCATTTTTATTATTTTACATAATATAATTAATTGGAACTTATATGGAATAGTCGTGGAAGAAAAATTTTGCGATCATATGAGTCTAGCCATTAAGTTTACAAAATTTAATATTTCGAATATTTCGTTCTAATTTCAGAATTTAACTGGATGTAAGGCATGTAATCTAGAAAAGTTTCTATTGCTATATTCTCGCAATGATTTTAAAAAAAACATATTATGTTTCTAAGAAATTGATATTTCCACACCTATGTCGAACCCTTTGTGCTTGTTTTTTAACCAATAAACTTTCATGATCTGTGCATAAATGCTAAAAAATACATTTCTCATATTTTAAAGTATCATAAATTTCCCATTTGTGCTCTGTTCGTGAAATTTGCCATAGTTTTAATACGAGCATAAAGTATTATGTTTTAGAACAAAAAATCAAGTGTAGGTAAATTTCTCGAAAATAGTGACCCCATTGGATGGGCAGGGTCCGGCATAGGCGCGGAAATATCATTTTATTATCTCCGTACTAAAATTCGAGTTTCGGTTAATTTAAAGAAAAATCAATTTGCAATAAAATTCTCGTAATCCACGATGCAAAATTGAGTTATGTAAATTTATGTACTGTATAAAGTCTATTTTATTTTTAAGAAAATTAAATTCTTGTTATGAAATATTTTTACCAATATTACGAACTAAAATTATATTATATTTTTCAGCAAATTAAATGGGTGAAATAACAAGAGAATAACATACAGTAACTGGTGATAAAGGGATAAATTTACAAGAATAATAAAGAACGTACAGTAACTGGTGATAAAATTATTCTTGAATTATGAAAGCAAAAAATAAAATTTTTTGAATTATTTTATTTCTGGGACATTATTTGGATTTTCTAGTTTTTTCTATTTTTTCTACCTTTCTTTTATTATTTTTTTTTGAGGGAAAGTCTTTAAAGTTAGGAGAGATTTGTTTATTTTTAATTTTCAGTGTGAAACGTCTCAATGTACTAAACTCATCTGGTTTAAAGGGTGGCTTTTTGTTTTCGGAACTTTTAGTAGGATCTTGTTTAAAGTGTAATCCTTTAAGTTCAAAATGCCTAGGTTCTTTTTTACAGATAAGGGATCTTAGACCGGGTTCCGGGGTGTTTTTTTCAGATTGAGCTATGGCTCTCGCAATTTTAATAAGCTGGTTTTTTTTTTTACCACCTTAAAGTCAATAATTATTGTAAATTAATACACTCGTTTAAGAGAAAGAAAGGTTATCTACTCTAAAAAATAATTTTTTAATTACCGTACCTAAATGATATGCAACATCGATCATTTGGTCACAATAATCTTGAATGCCGCAAGGAGGAGCGTTATTCAACAAAGCATCATTACACCCTCCCGAAAGATCATCAAGATGCCCGTCAATGTCGCCATCACCGGGTTTAAATTTAAACAACCTTTTTATAGCATTGTTGTGTTCTTGACCAATCCTTGCATCAACGATAGCAAATAATAAAGCTAAAGCAATGATGATGGTGGAATATTTCATCGTTTAAGTTGAAATCCAAAATAAGAACAATTTTTTTGTTTTGCTTTTTTTTTTTTTTTAGAAAAATGGAAAGGGGATAATTTTTTTTGGTACCGTTACTTGCTCTTTATATAGAGAATGCCACTTAATACTTTTGAAAATAACGATTAAACGAGACGTTAATTCATATTATTTAATGTGACACATCTATATTTTTTTCAAAGATTTTTATTGAGATAGATCAAATTAAAATTTTTTACGAATCATAGGTTGCGAAATTTTACTAATTTGTCTAATTTTATTCTTTATGAATAATCCTATACTTATGTGATTAGTATGTTTATCAAACTAACAAAACTTAATTTTGTAAAAATCCTAACTTACCATATTAGTTAAAGACTTTACGATCAATGATAGGCTAAAATCCAACTTCATTTCTATAAAGTGTAAGATATTATAGAAAATAATAAATGGATTAAAAAAGTTTTTTGTACTAAAGATCAGCCATTTAGGGAATTTTTTTTTTTTGAGACCAATAAACATGAATTTTTATATTATACTTATTTCATTAGTCAAAATTCGGAATTATACTATATGAGTTCTGTCATGTCATCGGGCTTTTCATATGTATTAAATTTTACGGCGCATATAATTGCATATTGGTGGATCTGTACTAGTGTTGCCACCAAAATTACTTAATATTAATTTCACATGGAATAACTACCGGTACATAGTAAATAAACATAAGATATAGTTATTGTCACCATGACCTGAAATGACCTATATGACCTTTATGACCTATCATAGGTCATTCGGTCATAATGAAGTTGATATGGCTTATGACCTTTTTAATATAATAAAAATCATAGTAAAAAATTTTTATTAATGACCGACATGACTATGACCAAAAAGTCATATGATTATATGACCAAGGTCATATAGAAAAAAATATTATGACTTAGGTCATCGGCCAACATTGATCGTTGCAGTCCTAATGACGGTAAAACGGTCCAATAGATCAAAAATTATTAGGTAGTAATTTACATTTCACGATCATATAAATTTCTTAAACGTAAATTGCTCGTAACTTTTGAAATACTGGACCGAATTTACCGTTTTTAATGGTTGTTACAACTTTTATTAATTCCTCAAGGAATGCTTACTTAGTAATTAATCTTAGAAATCTCGATTTTATATTTTTAAAAATGGGCTTTTTTTTTTATTTTATATAAATTACTAATAAATTTAATTTACGGAAATAGGTAGATCCACGGAATTAGGTACCTTTACCTTAAGGCTGAATCGGATAAATCGTAAATTTAAAAACTCGATTTCGTTTTTCCTTGTTACCGTATGTTACCGAATAAAAGCTACTAAAATGTTGAAAAAAATAAGAATTTTTCAGGTCAAAGTGAAGGAGTAGCTTCTATTCGGGTCTAATTTACTATTAAAACATAATAACCTTCAAATTTTTGGATGGGGGTAGCTTTTATTCGGGGATAGCTTTTATTCTTTATGTTAATAACGAACTTTTTTAAAGATTTAAAAAAGTTATATATTTTGGAATGGAAATGTGGTAATAAAAAATACATGTATTTTATATGTAATGATATTGAAATTTGGGAATTATCGTATGTATTTTGTTACTAAAGTTGTCATCTGCCTGGAGTCACTACATCAGTTACAAAGGTTACAAATAACCGTCATTGGAATTGTTATTTAACGCATTCAAAGAATTAATTTTACTATGTGTAATTTCTGAAGCTAATTTTGGTCAAGTGTAGCAACCTCAGATGGCAACTCCGGTCACAATACATGACAGTCTATATGTACGTACGTACGTACGTACGTACATACGTGAATGTTGAGCGCTTATTAGTTATTGGTATGTATGTGTAAAATTACAGCAGAGACAGTACCTGAATCCCTCTCGCCTGTGATCAATCACAAATTAAAATATTTATGTTGGATTCAATTGTGATGGATATAATCCATCACCAGTTTTATATATGTGTAACATTAACGGTCTCTGCTGTAGTGTAAAGTCACTTGATTGGTGTCAGTAGGCTTATT